CCACTGAGTGAATTGAACACTTTTAAGGTTACGGAATGCCATTACAGCAGTGACAGGAAATTCGACATCCTGCAACATTGTGCAGCTGATTTTTTCCCCCCGTCCACCGCATTTAAAGGAAGATTACTCCCTTAATAAAAGGAAAACAAAAAACAGCGCCAAGGGCTAAACATCAGTAGGAAGGAAATGAGCAGGAAAAAGCAGCGTGTTGTTTGTGTATCTGTCATCCACTCTTGAGAAAATCTGCCCGACGCTTGATTCGCACCCTGGCACACTTTCCCAGGCGCTCCTCCATGATGGAGTTACAATGATGTGATTTGAAGGTACCGCGTCGGCGGCGGGTCCTCTCGCATCGTCCCGACTGAAGCGCAACACTGGCAGCCTTGCTCTTAACACGCAAGCGAATCACCACGCACATGAATGGCATCAACAAGCAAGGGAGTAAACAGCAGCACTTTATTCAATTAGATGCTTGATTTCCACCCCAGAGTTCCAATGAACATCATTTAAATTCATTACAGGCGACATCAAAGGTAACGCACGAAGATTGCGTCACATATTGTCAAACTATCAGTTAAAACAAACCCTTTCAACTCGACGCTAATGCCTTATCAGGACGGTGAAAATATCGTACCCACATGAAATGACGCTATTCCATTTCATCTCTTTATGAATTGAAAAGGCAGTTTCAAGTTTCAAGTGACTTTTTGACATTTGCGACAGTTACACAGGTACAAAAATATATTACTCACATTTGAGAGCAGTCTTATAAGACTAAAAATGTAATATTCTTTGTTTTGCATGTGACCATTTTAATACAGGTAAGCGACATCAGCAACAAATAATGACGATAGAGTCACGATTCGACTCACTGCGTTCATTTTCCTTTTAATTTTAATTTGCTTCTGACCTCGAGGTTTCTGAGATTACGAACATATAAAACTGTCTGAGTCTGGTTGTGACGCCAACACAACACTTTGAGAAATATTGTTTTGACTCCTAAACGTAATATGCTTCACAGGGCCATCATGTAGCTGTGGCAGTGCAGGCAATAGATCCAAGTTTGAATCTCGAACATAATAGTCCACTTCTTGTTCCAAAATCAGCTGTCATAGGCTCCAGCGTGACCCTTGTGAGGACAAGGGCCGTAGAAAACGGATAGAATGATATTCTTTTGTATCTATGAGAATTTTTCATTTATTGGAAAATGTCTTGCAATTTGGAACATTTCATAAAGAAATAAGATGAGAAAACCTTTAATTGTCTCACAATGGAGACATTCCCAATTTACAGCAGCAAAATTATGAAAATAGAAGACAAAAAGAATATACCCGGCACATAAATGTAAATATAAATCAAGTTGAATGCTTTTTATTTTGCATGACTGGACACAATATGTTGAAGTGAACGGTGACAGGGTGACAAAGTTGGTATTTATCTATTTATGGGACAAAAAAAAAAAAAAGAACAGGTGAAAGGGTTGATGTCATCATTTCTTCCTCACAAGAAAGATGAACTATGTGGTCTGAGTCGCAAGCCCTTAAAAGGCCCTGAGTGGATTTTAATCAGGTGTAGAGCAGTTAGCTTTGCTCTTCTGTGGGATTAAGAGCCTTTCCAATGGCCACGGCCATTAAAATCTACACCCGCCCACAAGTCCTGCAGTGCCTTGTGAGTATATTTATCATTAGGATTAACAAACCCTGCCTGTGAAACACTCTCGGCCCAGGAGCCCCGTTACCGCCGCCCCAGCTTGCCATTATTGTATTTGGCTGAGTGGCTGATGATAGCAGTGATTCAGCAAAGTCCCAGTTGGGAAAACAGGGGAGCGTCTCCCCGAGGACGCTTCTCACATCTGCATGCACCTGCTCAACTCTTGCCAGTGTAATAAGGCTTTGGCTTTGCTAGGCAGTATAGCGCAGTGTCATAAACCTTTCACTATTTCACATCTCACAAATGCGGGCTGGCTGATGTACAGAATAGAGATCTAACTATTTCATGTCACTAAACCGATTCTATATTTCATGGTTTGTTTGTATTTTTGTTTGTTTGTTTACTGTATTTTATGTCTTTCGAAAAATAATTGTGGTGACACAACTGCGGAAGTGACACAAAAATCAAATTAAAAATAGATAAAGCCATGCAGTTGTGCGCAGAATAATTTGCATCAGCCAGAAATCATCAGGCGTACCCTTGTCTCCTCAAAGGTTACCTACTGTATATACATATACAGGATTTGCTGTGCTTATGCTGTTGTTAGCTTGTTAGCCGATGTGTTTTTACAAACCTCTATTCAGTTTTCTGTTTTGTCTGATGAGATCCGAAACATCATTACATCTTATATTATGTGCTGCCCACATCTGCAATATGCTACACTGTCGAAATGGAAGAATTTTTGAAGCGCAGATTAATTCCAGCTCTGACTAAAGCTTTGCAGTGGGATGCTGTTGTTAGCTCAAAACATGTTATTCTACGAACATGAGTCACCGTTACTTAAATAATGAGGCTAGCTACACGCGAACAAGCCCCTTGCTTTTCAATCTCTGTATTAGTAAATAACTAGCCATCTTTAAAGGAACAATGTTGCTAGTTAATACTGCTGTCTTCTGTTTCGATCATTCGATGATGAGGTGCTGAGTCAAATTCCACTTTGCGAAACATCATCAGCAAGCTAAACAAGTTGGCCAGATGTATTTTTTTTTCTGCTAAGATCCAAGACTATTTAATGTTTTTGGAACCAAACTTATGGGTTTTGGTAAACATACAAGACAATTTCGTCTTCCGCAGACCTGAATTTTTTTCAAATATCAAAGACACGTTCGTCATCATGAACCTAATGTGTTGAATGTGTTTTTGTTTTTTCTTTTTGAATGAGGCTTGTTGCCAATGATGAGGTGTTGTGCGCCACTAAATTGTTTGTGTCTGACTGGTGATTTACGCTAATGTCGGATGGTGTTGCTTTTGTGTTGCTCCACTTATGATGACATGTAGATGCGTTGAATTCATTCAGACATTCCAGCTGGTGACACGAGCCGAGGGGTGTACATTTAATCCCGTTGCTGCCATTCAAGAGACCAAAGAATGATGCATCATCGAAGAATTTGGCATCCGTGCCTCGCCATTGCCAAAGCCAAAGCCAGGACCCAATATTCTCAAAGATCCCTCCCCCCTCCCCCCCAGAATGTATTGGAATACTGGATGCTTTGCGATCCAGTGAGATTCTGGGAATTCTATAACCACCCCGTATCCTGCTTTTCTTCTTGCAGATCTTCCACATGACCTACGACCTGGCCAGCGCCATGGTACGGATCGTCAACCTTATTGGTATGATGCTACTTCTTTGCCACTGGGACGGCTGCCTGCAGTTCCTGGTGCCCATGCTGCAGGACTTCCCCGCCGACTGCTGGGTGTCCAAAAATAAGATGGTGGTGAGTGTCTTTCCTGCGCTGGCAGTTCTCCTTCCTGATCCAATCAGACGATCCCCTGACTTATCTCATCCACCTACGTAATTACTCCTCTAAAGCCCTTTGGCATCCTGGGAAACCATGTCTTGCGTATCTTTCATCTAAAAGCCTGAATGAAATTAAATTTGTCAGCCAAATGTGGCCGCATGCAATCAATTGAGTGATTTTTCTGCACAGGCTGAGAAACATGCATTGCTCTTATATTTGTTTAGATTCATATTTTTATCTTTCTCCATCTGTCCAGCCAGCCAGCCAGCCAGTCTGCCATCCATCCATCCAAAAGTGTCATAGCTAATATTAGTAAAATTGCTTGTCTGATTTAATTTCCAATTAAATCCATGAATGAATGACCTTCATGAATGTTTTTTGTAAACATCAAAGACAATGTTGTTTTCTCCAAATCTAATTTGTGTGTTTTCAAAACCAGACAATACAATTTTGGCTTGTGTTTTGTTCGCATAAAAAAATAGAGTCTCTAGCCATCGAGACTGAATAAAAGTCAAAATATTTTCTGTGAAGTTATCTTACAGGACTTGTCTGTTGTTTCCTCTGCGATCCGAACGTGTTCTCCAAAACACCACGGATAACTTCATTCATTTCATCCACCCTTCAATTTAATCTTCATTTATTCAAATCCAATGAATGCGATTGATGAAAATTGATGGTACTGTGTACTAAATTGAAATTGGAACATGTCTGAATGGTATCGGTTCGCAGGCTTATTTTAAAAATTGTGTTCAGAGTTGGGAGTAAGTCACATATGTGGAAGACATAACTCAGTGATATCCTTCAAATTTTGAGCAAGTTACAAGTTGCTGTAGCAAAAGTCAAATCAGTACCTACACAAAGTGTGACATTTTAAAATATTTTCATTTTATGTATTTTGCTTCAAGTCGTGCAGGGTGAACAGGCTGGAACACTATGTATGGGTTAAGTCTGACTCAAGTCAAATCATGTGACTCGAGACCCAACCTCTACCGATGTTAGTTTTATGTTTTGACTGATCACTGTCTGATCACACAATTTCTTGGACGACTGCATTCCTTAGTTATAGCTACTATTATCATCATTTACGAAACGTGAGAGGCATTTCACGGCGGTGGAGATGATATGATTGTAAAGTGTCCTTGGGTGTCTTGAAAGGCGCTTATAAATAAAATGTATTATTATTATTGTTATTATTATTCATATAATTCACTTTCTCTCTCAAGCCGTCTGTTCATTTTGCCACATTGTTGCAAGAGGCCCCGCAATAGGTTGCAACATGCGCTCCCCCTGTAAAAGATGCCGAGCGCAGCCCATGTGAGACCAAAACAGCCGTGCAGCCGCTGGCCTCACATTACCTTAGCATGTGGCAGGTTCGCCGCTGTAATTTATAGCCTATTTGCGTGAGACGCAGAGATTGATCAGCGCGCTATCCCTCCTCCCCTTCAGTGGTACATCCCAATAAATCAAACGTACATTTAACCTTCACGGAATGCCGCTGAGCAGAGTCCTTCCCTAACTGATGGCTGATCAATATTTGTGCGAAGGTCAGAGTCAATAGGGCACCATCGGTGTGATTGTGAGCCGCGTGTTAGTCATCGCCGGGAAAGGAAAAATGGTGACTGTGTGTGCTCAAATAAAGGCGGTACGGATTGAATAGGCTTATTGGTTTCGACCCAGCGGGCGCCCCCTTAAAAGTGATTACAGTCGGTGTTAAAAGCAGCCTTTGTGCAAAACTGCAAAGGGATGGTTTCATTACCTCAGCCAAGGTGGTCACATTTTCATTTCTCGGGGTTTGTCTGCAGAATTTGATTTATCAGCAAATATTTGCATGAAGGTTTTTTTTTGTTTGTTTGTTTGTTTGTTTTTTGTGTGGACATTCCTTGCAGGGCGTTGAGCATTTATTTGGTATTCTGGCTTGTCAACATCCCGTAATTATTCCCATGCTAGTTCCAGGAATATTACATTTTGTTCTGATAAAATCCTTATTTTAAGAATGAAAGATATTTTTTCTTGAAAAATCTTTTTTTTGGACGAAATTTGACCTAAATCCTTCAAATTAAGGTTTACGTTGTTGGGAAATGCTCGAACATCCATCCATTCATTTTTCACGCTGAGCATGAGCCTATCCCAGCTGACTTTTGGCGGGGTGCACCCAGGACTGGTTGCCAGTCAATCACAGACCCCATATAGACATACAACCATTCTGTTACGGTTCAAAAAACTTCAATAATACTGTTCACTGCTATACCACAAGGTTTTGTGTGTACGGATGGTCAGAGCTGTGCATAAATGTCCTCACACACAAGTCCAAATAGATAAATCCCTTACTTGGCCTGGGAATGTTCGTACGCAGGCTTTACACACACTTTTGAGTGTATGCACGCTTGATAAATGAGGCCCATGGATAAGCTTAAAGATGATTTAATATTCTTACAAGAAGGAAGAACAACCATGCAGCCAAGCAGCTTATTCAGTGGTTGTTTACAGAATATTTGTCTGACCTTCTCTCCTATACATGTATAAGTCACGCCCACTACCTTCACCCAAGGTTGACTGTGCTTTATCAGACTGCCATTGGTTTCTCTTGTCCCAAGAAGATGGTTTCGTGTGATTTGTCATCCTAATCAAACATGAACTGACCCCCAAAAAACAAACAATTTCATCGGTTATTAGTTGTCCCATACAGAATGTGAAATTTCAAGTTCCGCTAGAACAGTGGTTCTCAACCTGGGTTTGAACGAACCCCAGGGGCTCGGTGAATCTGTCTCAGGGGTTTCACGAAGCCTCTGCCATGGAGGTTCAGACACCCCCGACTCAAGATGTCAGTTCGTTATGACACGCCCGCTTGGCCATCACTGGCTGCAGATGATCATATTAAATTGCTTGTCCAATCAGTGATGTGGGAAATTTAGTTCGCTCAGTAGTCACCATGTGACTGTCGTGATAGTATGTCATACAATTTTAAAAAAACTACACTCAGGCCATTTAATTTAATTTAATTTTTATGTTTTTAATAAATGTGGTTTTTTTTTCATGTCTTGAATGTGTAAAAAATCTAATTTTTATTTTTCACGAATGAAGGGTTCGGTGAATGTGCATATGAACTCGTTGGGTTCGGTACCTCTAACAAGGTTAAGAATCACTGCACTAGAATGTACCGATTGGAATTATGGATATTTTCCCTCACATTCATACCTTTGTCTAGTTTCGAGACCTCAATGAACCTAACATGCATTTTTTTTGGAATGTATCAGGAAGCCGGAGTAGGCAACCTGGCACAGGGAGAACATGCAAACGCCACACAGGATGGCGATTCAAAACCAGGACCTCCGAATTCGGAGGCAGATAAACAAACCACATTCAATGTTTTCTGAAGGTGTAGCGTATAGAATCAGTTGGGAAACACTGGATCATAGCCAAAAACTAATTGAGAATGCCTGTGTCAAATATAGAGAACTTCCTTGAGGTCCGCGCTCTGACTGCCCTGGTTAGCATTTGACGCTAACAAAAGTGGCTGAATAATTGACGTAATCGAAGAGAATGGCGCTCTGCAAACATTACAGCGAGAGCCCGTTCTGAGCGGAATATACGGCTCACAGTCAACTGTGCGTGCCGGAACAGATGTCACATGAGTAGTTACATCGCTCAAGGTATGATGTATTTGGTTCATCATGCCTCGGTGCGTTGCTGACATGCCGAGCGCTCGCTTGCTCCGTACGCCTCGCCTTCCATCACGAGAAACGACAGATGTTGCACACCCATGTCCCTTGAGATGTTTCACAGTTTAGCTAATTTTAGCCTACGATATACATACCTGTCTGCACCGGAGAATTTTTTGGGTGAGCTTGCGCAACCCAGTCATAAAACGGCTGACCTTTTGCCTGGATTTACACTGCAGGTGTAAATAAAACATAAAACAACGACCACAGTGTTTTTGTTGCACTTAAAATAAAAAAAAAAAATACAGCACTGTCCAAAACAATAAAAAAGAGAATGTAAAGAAATAGACGGTGTTTTTTTGTTTTGTTTATTTTTTATGTGATCATTGAATGCCATTACAAAACAGAAGTCACATATTAGCTAATTGCCATTTGTCAGAGTTATTAATTAGACATTCATAATAAAGACCCAATGAGGAGACAGGACACTTAAATCTGGTACCAATCTCTCGAAAGGGAAACAAGAAGAAGCGTTAGGGTTCAGTTACATCACTTGCATCTTTTGAATCAAAACTGCTTTTCCGAATCAGTTTTTGTTAAATTCCTATTGTTTGTCTTTAGGCGCCCTGTGATTGACTGGCAACCCACGCAGAGTTTTTCTCGCCTCTCATTCAAAGTCATTTGAGACAAGTTCCAGCTCCCCCCGTAACTCTCATGAGGACAATTGCTATCGGAAATTGAATGTTGGTATTCTTTTCCTGAGATTTGCACTCTGCCATTCCAAAAGCCGTTTCTAGGAGTTTGCCTGCGGTATTTTGTAACCTCGTTTGGCGATACGAGAGAAACAAAATGTTAGACATGCTCTTTCATTCGGATGTCCCTGAGCTGAGCGATAAAAAAGATGCACTCTAAATCCTGCGAGATGGAAACACGAAGCCTCTCATCCGGCCGCTCTTTGTTTTGTTTCACACAATAAATGCTCTCTAATTAATTACATTAACCAGAAGAACAGTTTGCAGTGTGACCGAATAACAAATAAATCTGCCAGTTTTTTCCATTCCATTACATTCAAAGCGATTCGGATGGTCTTCATAAAATGTTGACATGGTCAAAATGGTAAGAAGAAATGGTAAGAAGACTTCACGTGTCAACATTTCGGAACAGTGTTGCTGAGAGCAGATGATTTTGTAAGGGCTCCCCTGTTTCATGCAAATACGCCTCTGTTTATGGACAGAAGGAATTTGGGACTATTCTTGACAAAAAGATTTCAGATCAACAATATTCCTGGAATGTGTGGTGTGACTAACTCTCTGGAGGTCATTCCACACCCTCTCGATCGGGTATGAGGGGAGGACTCTGACTGGCTCGCTACAAAAGGTGTATTTTTAAACTATTAACAAGTGAAAAAAAAAGTACATTAAAATTGCTGATGTCCTTTTTTACTAATCTTAAATTGGAAGACAGAAGGTCTTTTGTTCCGCTGCAAAAAATGGTGAGCTAAACGTGAATTTCTTTTCCATTGATGATAACGATTGTCCAGGCCCTGCGTAAGCAAATCGTCCCAAACTGATGCACCCTCCACCATACTTGATAGTTGGTTTTGAGTTGGGGGTTTTTTGCCTTTCTGTCTCTACAAGCGTAGTGTTGAATGTTCCGTCCAAACAGCTTAACTTTGGTGCCATCTGGCCACAAAATAGTTTGCCAGTAGCAAAATGGAACATCCAGGTGTTCTTTTGCACACATCAAACCTGTAGCAATGTTTTTGGGGAACAGCAGTGGCTTCATCTGTGGCATCCTCCACTGACATTCATTCTTCTTTAATGTTTTACTTATCATAAATTTGTCAACAGAGATGTTAGCCCCTGCCAGAGATTTCTCTAAGTAACTGTTTGTTTGTGATCTCATTGAGCATTCTGCGCCATGCGCTTGCAGTCATCTTTGATTATGGTTCCAAGTAGTCTGACAGTTGCAAGGCTGATCATTGCAAAAAAATCTGCTTTATGTGAATTCACACTTGATAGGTAGGCAGGCGCTCCAGAGACCCAAGACCCAACTGTGTGGAGAGAAGCAATTAAAACGTCACACTGCTATTGTATGTGCACTTTACAATACAATTTTTTGGCCTCTCTCTACAGTAGCCGCCCCCATTGTTGCACCGGGTCATCGCTTCCTATTTTTCCAACAGTGGTGCTAATGAAATGACTCTCTTTTTTTCCAGTGTGGAAATTAATTTGAAATCAATTTTGACATGTCAACCCACAGGAGAGACGCTTATTGATTGACAATAAACTACCGCAAGGATCTGAAGAGAGTAAAAGAAAATAAAATGAAGGGTGTTGGGGCATTGATCAACAAATGAGAAATCGCATCATTTCTAAATGGCCGACCTACTTTCCTGCCACGCACGGCAGCCTCTCCCGTGTGTGTCACGCTATATTTGCCTGCGCTTGGGCTTGCGTTTTGCGAGGTTGGGCCCAAAATGTTGGCTCGCTACGTTTTGCATATTGGGACGTCGTGCTTCTGCCAGCTGCCTCGAGTGGACATCTGCCATTGCGTCTTTAAGGATGCGCGCGGGTGAGCTGTCGAGGCGCCCCGCTGACATTTGAACGTGCCGTCGAAAGGATTAGCAAGATGGCGGCATTCATCTTGTGTTTGTTTCCCCTCCCTACGCAGAACGACACGTGGGGACAGCAGTACTCCTACGCGCTGTTTAAAGCCATGAGCCACATGCTGTGCATCGGCTATGGCATGTACCCCCCGGTGGGCATGACCGACGTATGGCTGACCATCCTGAGCATGATCGTGGGCGCCACATGCTACGCCATGTTCGTGGGCCACGCCACTGCCCTCATCCAGTCGCTGGATTCGTCACGGCGACAGTACCAGGAGAAGGTAAGTGGATGTGGTCCTGAAAGAAAAATTGTCTAACAGTAAACACGGTTCCAGTTGGTGAAAATTTGAGATTTAAAGAGGCTGTTTTGAAAATATTTTCTTTACTCTTTTACTCTTTCTTAGTATATCCTTGTGCATTCACAGCCTTGAGGTCTTTAACTCACTTCCAAAAAAAGCATCTAGTCAATGAAATGGTGGAAAAGGGCAAAGAGGAATTGTTAAAGTCCACTTGTGTGCTGAGGCAATCAAGTCAAGCACCATTGAAGCAATCAGGATGTAAGACTACGTTTACATTATGAGCCTGGCGACCATCGAAGCCTCATCTGCCTGAAACAGTGGAGTGGACCAAGGGTATTTGACCGCATCTTGTTAAATTTTTTCCACACTCTACAACAGAGTACCCGTGACGGACCATGCGGGGAAGCAAGGCTGCTGAGTCTTGGAGGCTAAAAGACGCAATACGGTTCCGTCTGCGGTTAACCGCGGATACCATTTCCCATCCCTCCTAGCTTCTCCTCACATTTCTTTTGTTCTTTTGTTGTGTTTTTATGGATGAAAGATGGACACCGGGCAGCTATAAGTGCATCTGTGGCCCTGGCAGATGCAAATGAATATCCCATACAGGACCCGGCTCCAGATTTGGTTTCAGTGGGGGGGAATGTAGTGGCGGGGGGGGCCCATACTTCGGCTTAATTAACGTTTCATTGAATTATTATTATTATTATTATTATTATTATTATTATTTTTGGTCAAAAAATAATTCCCGAAACCATCTCTTGTACTAAATCAAGGAATGAGTTATTTACATACACACTGCATTGTTCTCTCTCTCTCTCTCTCTCTCTCTCTCTCTCTCTCTCTCTCTCTCTCTCTCACATACACACACAACACACACACACACACACACACACACACACACACACACACACACACACACACACACATTCAAAAGAGATATGCCACGGCAGGCATTGTGCTTCAGCGATGCCGAGAAATACCGCAGAGGTTTCCCGTCTCACGAAGGACCGCCTCCTGATGTGCCCTATTGTGTACCATCAAGTTTAGTTGCGCTCATTCCGTTTTACTATCGTCAAAAAGGTTTCTCATCCGACCTTGACTGCCATGTCAAATTTTTTGACGGTTTAAAAATCACACCGCGCATCCATGCCACTCTTTGCCTGTCACATTAGTCCAGCCCGACCACCCGCGTCGTCTCACAACCATTTAGTTTTGTCCGTGGTGGCCTGAAGTTGGACCGGCTGTCTCGAGAAAGACGCTTTGCGAAGCAGCCATGATATTTCCATGTGGGTGAGCTCATGCAGCGAGGAACCTCAGCATTCCCACCTCAGCACGGTGGGAGGGGAAGGAAAGCCCCAACAGCTGGCTCATTGAAGCTGCCTTCCACAGGCACCCAGCGTGGGCGATAATGAGCTGAGCTGCCGGCCTGTCACATTTCTCGCCGTCCGTGGCGCGTGGGAGACAAGAGATGGGAGGGTGACCTCCATCGGATGAGGCGCCCGCTTATATTCAAAGAGGGTGGATGAGAGGGAGTGCAAGAGCTTAGATGATGTAATGGGACTTTCAGGTAGCTCAGAGTGGATATGTTAAATGCTTCACCTTCACACCTTCACCCCAAGGATGACTTGCTCCACTCATGCAGCGGATCCGAAAGGCAACATGGTGACACGTAGCTAAATCGAGAGGTATTGAGGAGGAATCCATGAGATATTTGTGTGAATCCTGATTAAAAATGAAGGATAACAGCCAAATGGAATTGTGCCACCGACAAAATATTGCCGTGTCGTAACCTTACGTCGTCCTCTGTTGAACCAAAAATAGCCTGTATTTTTTTGTTCTCGGTGTATCTTCCTCGGTGTAGACAAACAAAAAGACAAATCACTTTTTGGGTCCAAGACATGCTGTGAATAGTAAAAATCTACGGGCTACTGACCTCAGACTCGTCAGACCATTAAAGCAAGGTAAAGCCAAAACCTTTTTTTCACCATTATTGTGTGTAGATTTTTTAACATCGATGGTATATGCTTGAGTATGACTAGATTAAGCATTTAATCCCCAAATAGGGCAGCAGTAGCGCAGGCTTCAAGGATCTAGGTGTGTATGGCACCTTAGCAATGCTGAAAAATACCAATTACTACTTTTCTGTTAGAAATATATCGGGCATTACAGAAAAAGCACCAAAATATGCCGATAGCTGTGGATAACTGAGATTTTCAGTGAATAGCCAGGTAAGGTTCCACAGAGAAAAACAACCTTTTTGAGAAGCCTAATTTGAATATCGTTAATATACTGCTGGCATGTTCCAGCATCTGTCTACCTCCCAAAGCCATATTTTTTTCATTTTCTGGGTTCACCCTCTACCTAAAGATCTTCAGGAATTCCCATCGTTGCTCACTTGAAAACACCCCTGCACTCTCGCAGCCTGCAGACAGGTTATTTCTGCGGCAAGCAATTAAATTTTAAGATGGCGGCTTCTCCGGTTATCTTTTTCGCACGCTTCGGTGATAAGACGCTCTCCGCTGCGCACTGCAAGGGATTCTTTGCCACCGCTGTGTTACTGACTTGAGAAGGGATTTTGTATGGGAAAAGGATGCACTGTAATTAATTCAATGCTTAAAAGTACATTAAAAAAACATACGTGAAATATGCATCAACTAAAATTAAATATACTGCACATTAAATATGGATGTAAACTACTGTATACAACAGCAAACTATAAAATATAACTGCTAGTTTATTTGTATGTGTAATTAATTGTACAATATTTATTATTGTATTGGTCACATTTGTCGATGCATTTCACCACGATAGTAAGTACTGTAAGTACATGTCATTCATTTTGCACTTCGCACAGAGTGGACTAACACAGTGCTTCACAGGGTTAAAAAGAATAAAAATAAATAAGGGACAAAAAAAGTCTGCTTGCCGAAACGTCTTTTTAAAAATGACGAGAGAAGAGGCAGCTCAAAAATAGTAGTGACACGAAGTGGCCGTCTTCCTCCATTCCGTGAAGACAGGCGTCTGTTTCGAGCCGGCCTGCGGGCTGCAGAAGGAGGTCATGTTGTAAACGCTGTCACGTAGCACAAGCAACACATTCACGATTAATAAGGACCACTCCGACTAAGCATTTCATCAGAAAAAAATCACATTGATGCTCACGAGCATTAACACAAATCAGGGGCTGAGTGACTGAAGATTTTCTTCTTGTCGACTAAATGCGATGAAGTTGAAGTCGAATAATCGATGATGTCGCAGTTGGTTTTTTTTCACTATAGCACAGCGGTCCCCAACCTTTATCGAACCACGGACCGGTTTCATGTAAACATATATTTTGACGGACCAGTTTATAGAAACAAATGAAAACAAAACATTCAAAATAGAACTTATGTTCACGCTGACTAAATTTGTTGGCGTTCGTGGAGCCCTGCGCATATTTCTCTAAAACAAGCCCACCGGTCTTATGTCGTTTCCATAACATAGTGCGTGGGAAGATGGGACAATGTTGCCGAATTCCCCCAATGATTCTGTATTTTTAAGTGACTGTGATACTAGTCTCATTTATGGTCAAATATGATAGCATAATACGGCTAGATGTCGTATTGCAACAGGTGTAAGCAAGGTTGTTGTTGTGAATGAATAAAGTTCCCGTTAGCGTACAGTTGCCCACGCATTGTTGAACAAAAAAATGGAGATTTCCTTCCGTGCCGCTGCCCCGAGTCCTCGCCACCAATGCCGTGGTGGTGCTGGTTTGAATATATTAAGACGAGCGATGATTTGAATAGCCAAGCTAGTAGTGGGGCTAGCCGCTATTCTCCATCCACAACGAGCTTATTTTTGTAGTTTTTGATTGGCACAGACGTACGAAGACGTCACCTTGTAGTTTGCTGCTCCACCGAGTGTTTTAGTCCCGTGGGTTGAAAGTTCTGTGAATATGGGCAAATTGGAAGACGAGATGCTAAAAAAATGTGACAAGCAATTGGCCGACTTTGAGCTTTAAATGTTGATGCAGAGTAAAAGTGTCGACTCCGTTCTACCCCTAATACAAAACCACTTTGTGTTGTAAATCCACATGGATAATAAAGCCTTTATTACATAATTAGCAGCGTTTACTTCACTTTAATAATTAAAAATATGCATCACGCAAGGCACTACAGCCGGTATCAAGTAAAAACATGGTAATCATCACAGATGCGTTCACACCGGTAATTTAATGTGCGTATTAGGTGTTGAATGTTTTTCCTTAATTGGCCATAAGACCATAAAAATGTGTTCTGTCATGAGCATTTCATGCATCTTAATGAACTTGCAAAGTCGAGCTCAAGGGGAGCACTGGGATGCATGAATTCTAACGCCCATAGACCCGTGTTGAACTGCATATACTTGGAGAGGCATTAGAAGGACGCGCGGGCGAGGTGATGTACTTAAAAGCGCATTTAGGCTGGATAATGTGAGGTCTTTATTGGTGCCATCAAACTAAACACATGTTTGAACTGGCTACCTCAGCCAAGATTGGATTGGAGAATCTTTTATTGTTTTTTTGCAATGTGTGATTTCAAGTGTTGAAAGAAATTAACTGCATCAAATGCGAAACACAAAAAATATACATAAATAAATAGACAAATGAATGAATGTATGAATGAATGAATTAAAATGCTTGGAGTTGACCGTGGTTTATAACTGCACGTCATTACACTGAGACCATTTTTATTTTTGTGATGGTAAGATTTGTATCCATTTCTTCTCTTGCCTCTCGGTCCATATAATGAAGTCAGGGACTCCGTTTTACCGTTGTTGTGCTCGTAGCTGTGAAAATTAATGATCCAAGTAGGTGTTTCATGACGAGATATTGAAATCATTTCTAAATTGAAAGGCATTTGGCGGGTTTTTTGTGGCATGGTGGCTGAGAGGTTTGAGTGGCCGATAATTGGAAGATTGTGGGGTCGATGTCAAAGCCCCCAGCCCGTCCTGATGCTGCGTCATCA